TTGCTTAAGTACTCGTATACTAGCAGACGGTTCTGGCCATCATCACAGTATCCAAGCAGGCGGACTAGATTCTTATGATGTGTCTGGGCTATTACTTTCACTTCATTTCTGAATTCCGTATCCCTCTCTTGCGCCACAAAATTCAGCTTCTTCACTGCCACAACAACACCAGAATCGATTTTCATTGTCCCTTTGAAGACAATTCCAAAAGATCCTCTCCCCAATTCCTCTTTGAACCCATCTGTGGCTGCTTCAAGCTCCGTGTAAGTGAAGTGACGCAAATTCATTTCTGAGACGTTTTGTGCAAGCGTGGTTTTGCCTTTCTTCTTTTGGTAAATGAAGAAAAATCCGACACAAATAGCAGCACCCAATAAAATATTAACAACGACAGAGGTACCAAAAAGCACTGATCCCACCAGGATCAAAGTATCCTGATCTTTCTCCTTTATAACTTTCGGAACAAAGCCATGAGATCCATTGGTGAAATTAGAATACTCCGCCTTTCGGACTTTGATAAATCCCCTGGAGTTGAGACTATTGTCCACCCTGCCATTTGAGAGAGGTAACTTCTTCTTCCAGCAAGTCCCGGCCCTGAAAATAGCAACAGCACACATACAATCACTCAAGCAAGATTCTTTGCACAAATCTCCGGTAAAAGGATTCAACTCGCTGTAATCCGATTCAGGCCAATCCGTGTTGGTCACCTCGGCGACATCATAAAGATCAGTATCACTCCTTCTGGGACTAGTAAGCTCATCTTCTTTACAGCCCTGTATGAAATCCGGTTTGCAGCCTCTATAAGCGTCATTCGGATCAATCAGAGAGTAGTTTTGTGGGCATCTACATTTTGGCTTTTTTTTCTTCTTGTTGGAGACTGCAAATACTATTGTACCAACAAACATCGGCGCCAGCCGTGCAAATATTATCGGGTATGGCCCAAAGATAAGTCCATCTCCCAGTTCCATTCTTTGGGTGATAATATTGAGTGAAAACTCCATCAAAATTTATAGTAGCTCTAATATAATTGTCCCTTCCCGAGACTATATCACCGGGTGCAATAGTAAGTATTTCATCATTCTTTCTCAAAACGTAGATGGAACCTGATTCATTGAAGACCAACTGCTTACCTGCCGTTGTTGAGTTTGCTCCGTCATACGTCCCACTCGCATAATAAGCACCGTTGGAAAAATCTGTGGGCAAGTATACGGTGTTGAGAACCAAATTACCGTCTCCTTGCAAGCGTAGTCGGAATCTCCCCCTCGTGAAATTAGTCTCTGATCGACGAGACGAAACCGTCCCTTCTCTTTCAAGTACTTGCGAAGGCAAAATGGTGTCTGTGGGATACTTGAAAGTTTCCCACAACGTATCTGAGCTTGTGTCTTGGAGCATAAAATTACCTTTATCGCTCATGACGCCTTTCTCAACATCTCCCGCAACGTTATCGGATTTCCACAGCTCTTTGCCCTGAGGATTTGTCAGCACTAGCCCGAGATCGGAAGTCAGGCTTACTTTTGATCCAGTCGGAGCCATCGGTGGTGGATTGGCATTCACGTACCAAACTATGGTCTTGTCAGGAATCTTGTCGTACCATATGCAGAGCAAGAAGAGGTCATTTTGGTTTGGTAGCTGTTGAAAGCCGAAGGCGAAATCACCAGATGGTGAGAGCCATGGAGAGGACTTCTTTGTTGCTGTGAGAGAAGTTCCAACAGTTATGCTACGATTGTTATTTTGAGCAAAAGCAGAGATTGCAAACAGAAGTAACATTAGTAAGAGAAGGCGAAAGATATAATCATGAGGACTAGACAACGCCATGGCTTGATTCTTGAACAAGATAGAACTAGAACTGGTTTATGATTTTTTGTTTTAGAATGATTTTTTTTTTCTCTCTTCCACTTAAATAGGAGCACCAGGGACCACGAAGTGAGTGTTCTGGAACATAGACGCGTGAAACAGTTTTTCACGTCGGAAGACTTACAAGGAAAAATCAACACAAAGAAGAAAGAAAAGTATGTGTATAGACTATATGCCAATAAATGTTTATTTATTTATATATTTATTTTTTGCTGGACCCAAAGAAATTCAGTTATTCAAACGATTGCTATACCTCTCTCACGTCAACATTATATTGAAGAAATATATGCTCTATATCTATATGTATCATTTTAGCATATAAAGCATAGTTGACTTGGCCATTCTGTATCTCAGTCGCAATTAAAAACGTAAACCAGACGACAAGTGCTATATAACAATTTACTCAAGAAAATCTCTACTTAAAGAAAGTGAGATTTGAAAAAGGATACTCTGTACATTTAAACAGTAGTTTGTTGCTTTTTTTTTATCTTCCTGCAAAAGCAAAGCGTCCCCAAAACGGAATAAGCAAAGGACAATCTCAAAATTCCGGAATTTGCACCCCGGCGCACACGAGAGAGCCTCTACACTTAAGATCTTACTACTTAGCAAATGGAAGATCATATTTAAACAGTCCATGCTCTTTTGCCCATATTGGGCTACCATTTTCCTTTTTTTTTTTTTGTGCACTTTTGTTCACCCGCAAGTATACGGTGTCAAGTTTTAATAGTATAAGGTGAGTGAGTATCGTCTTTACAAGAATTAGGTTTTAAATTGTTACTAAGTACCGCAATTATCGTAATTCAACTTTATCTAGATAACTAAGCTAAATGAAATAAAAATAGAACTAGAACAAATATAAATACGAAAATAAAATAAAATATGAAAACTTTTATTCACAAATGTATCTAGAGTCTTGATTTCACTCACTCTTCCCACGTTTCTCATATTTTGTCAATACTAGCCAATTCCACCCAATTCAAGGATTAAGAGTCCTAATGTAACCTCATTACCTCTCTTGAGTGTCGAATGAGATAATATGTATAAATATTCGAGTTAATATCTCCATCTAACTTGTCTACCTTCACATTCATTAAGCTTGGCCCTAAGGTTGATTATCAAGGATCCTTGATCGTCTCTCGTCCTCACAACACTAAAGATTCTCACCTAGATCATACAAGTATTGATATCCTCTCGGACTCACAACACTCTAGATTATGTTTCCCAATTCCCAACCATGAACTCAATCTCTCTCGAGCATTAAATTCACAATCTAATATCATCTAACTCATTTCTCAATAAGAATAAACGAATTAAGGCTTAGTTTGGTACTGTTGTAGATTTTAAAAAAAATTGCGTTTAGCTGTGCTAAAAGAAAAAATAGCTAAGTGTTTAGTAAACTATAATTATAGTAACTGTGTTGGTTCCAACATCAGCATCATAACGTTTGATAAATTATGAAGTTAAATTGCTGTGAATAGTTAAAAATTACTACTATATTATATTATACTATAATATAATATATATTATTACAATATAATGTATATTTATTATCATATTTAATATAATACAATAAAACTATTAGTAAATAATATATTCTATAATTATGATATAAAATATAATAATATTATTAAAATAGTTAATATAATTACAATATTATAATATTACATAACAAATAGTAATATTTCAGTTATAATATAATTAAAAATTATAACTATATTATATTATAATATAATGTATAATCATTATTATATTATATTAAACAAACATATTATAATTAATATATTATATAATTATAACATGTGTAATACACTATAATAAATAATAATATCATAATTATAATATTTATTATAATATTTAATTATATTAATTATTATATTATTATTAATATAATAAATATTATTATATCAATACAATATTATTATATATTATTATAAAATAATAATAATAATATCATATTATAATTATTTTATAATTATAATATCATATTATTAAAATAATTATAATATTATTATAATATCATAATATTTGATAAAATAATAATATTAGAGTTATTAATACAATTATGATATTATTTGTTACAAGATTATTATTACATTATATTATAATTTTATTGTATTATTATATTATATTATATTACAAGACTGATTTTTAGACTGTGAAGATTGTAAATTTTAAATTTCATTAGGAGTATTATGAGTATTACGAAAGTTTCATTAATTATACTATGCTGATTCCCTCACAATCTAAAAGCTAAAGTTGCTTTTGGACTGTTTCTGATTTTGACCGTAGATTCTTCAAAAATTCTTCAAAAAACACTTTTGAGGAGATTTACCAAACACTATAATCAACTTTTTCTACAAGCAGAAGCTGATTTTGAGAGCGAAAAATTATACCAAACGCAGCCTAAGTATAGAGAAACACACAAGAATGGGAATGGAATCGAACTAGCATAAAACCAAATTTTCAAAACATGTTCCAAGTGAGTTTCGTCAATCCCCTAAATTATAGAATCTTACTCAACATAAATGAATCCATAACTAAAAACAAAATCTAAAAACTAAAATATTGAAAAGATAACTTGTAGCTTAAAACGTCACTTTTTCTCCTTTGAAGCATAGTTTTTTTTCCTCTATTACCCAGTTTTCCTTCCACTTCTAGTCTTTTACTTTCCCTATCACTCCTGGCAACCAGAGATCCTTCAATATTGTTTGTCATAAGCTTGTTGAACACTTTGATATTAACTTCCACTATTGTCCTAACTCTAGACCTCTACCAACAAAGCGATCATTTGAATGTATTCAGAGATTCTCTCTGTATAGTGTTTATTTGCTCTAGGTTCCACTCTTTTTGGCTTCATTTTATCCCAAATCTATGTTAGCTCTCTTGTAGTATGGCTAGTTTAGCTAAAAACAGAATTGAACACGAAGTTCAAATAAGACCACTTAACAAGAAGCTCTATGGTAAGATCTAAGCATACTACACCAAAGACAGAAAGACCAAGAGGATGGTTCCCAAGTCATTTGCACTAGAGCATCGCAATGGTATGTGGAACATGTTCGGTAAAAACTCGAGACTGTAAATCTCTTTTAACATTTTCCTGGACATTCAAAAGTTCTGAAAAAAGAAAAATTTGACAAGAAGCACTGTTATACTCATTACTAGTGAGCATGATAATATCTAATATATGTAAATTAAGTTTCACTAATATAATTTTAAGTAGTATATTGGCTACTGGCAGAAAAGAAGAGTACAAGTCCATGATATTGATCCATCAACATCCAAGAAAATTTTAGTTGGTTTGATCAATTAGTTACAGAATATGCAGGGTATGGGCATGGTGGAGCATGGACTTCAACAACTCCTTCAAGCATTTGCACAACTTTCCTCATTGTGGGTCTAAGAGCAGGGTTTTCTTGAATGCACCACATTGACACCTTCAGATAAGTCTCTAGCTTCTTTATGTCATCCAAGGCCTCAGCTTCCCAATTCACCAGAACATTTAAGGCTCCTTCTACGAAACAATCATAAGCCCAATCCGTCAAAATTTCTTTACCTTCATCATTACTCTCCGAATCAACACTTCTACGACAGCAAATGATCTCCAAAAGTACAACTCCGAAGCTGTAGACATCCACTTTGGCTGTGATGGGCATGTTCCTAAACCATTCCGGTGCAACATACCCTTTTGTTCCTCTTATTGCTGTGTGTGTTTGGCTCTGGTTCATCATCAACAGCTTTGCCAACCCGAAATCCGATATCTTGGCGTTGTAATAATCGTCAAGAAGTATGTTCTGAGGCTTTATGTCGCAATGGATAATCTGACTGCTGCATTCTTCATGCAAATACAAGAGACCTTTTGCAATTCCTAACGCAATTTCAGTTCGTCCTCTCCAACTGGGCTTTATGTCCGTGAATACAAAGCTTGCCAGAGTTCCGTTGCTCAAGTACTCATATACAAGTAGACGGTTTTTCCCATCATCGCAGTATCCAAGAAGGCGGACCAGATTCTTGTGATGTGTCTGAGCTATTACCTTCACCTCATTTCTGAATTCCTTCTCAGTCTCTTGCACCACGAAATTCAACCTCTTCACCGCCACCGCCACGACAACGCTAGAACCGGTTTGTATTTTCCCTTTGTAGACGGTTCCAAAAGCTCCACTTCCCAATTCTTCTTTGAACCCATCTGTGGCAGCCTCAAGCTCTTTGTAAGTGAAGGAACGCAAATTCATGTCGGCGACATTTTGGTCTGCAAGCACGGTTTTGCCTTTCTTTCGGTAAATGAAGAAAAATCCAACACAAATAGCAGCACCCAATAAGAAATTAACAAAGACAGAGGTACCCAAAAGCACTGATCCTACCAGGATCAAAGTGTCCTGATCTTTCTCCTTTACTTCCTGAACAAGGCCATTGGACCCATTAGGCGAAATGGAATACTCCGCCTTTCGGACTTTGATAAATCCCCGGGAGTCAAGACTATTGTCCACTCTGCCATTTGAGAGAGGCAACTTCTTCTTCCAACAAGTCCCATCTCTGAAAATAGCAACAGCACACAAACAGTCACTCAAGCAAGATTCTTTGCACGAATCTCCGTTAAAAGGTTTCAACTGGACGTAATCCGAGGTGGGCCAGTCCGTGTTGATCACCTCCACAACACCATACAGATCACTAAAATCATGCACTTTCGATCTAAAAAGCTCATCTTCTTCGCAGCCCTGTATGAAATCCGGTTTGCAGTCTCCATAATCGTCGTTCGGATCGACCAAAGAGTAGTTTCGCGGGCAGTCGCACTTTGGCCTTTTCTGCTCCTCTTTGATAGTGCAAATACTGTTGTAACCACAAACCCCAGCACCGGATTCAACACGGACATCTTGGCAAATATCATCTGGTATGGACCAAATATAAGTCCAACTCCCACTTGTATTCTTTGGGTGATAATATTGAGCAAAAGTTCCATCAAAATTTAAAGTAGCTCTGATGTAATTGTCCCTTGCCGAGAAAATATCACCATTTACTAGACTTAATCTTTCGCCATTCTTCCTCAAAACGTAGATAGAACCAGACTCATTGAACACCAATTGAGAACCTGCAGTTGATGAATTAGTCCCCTCGTCCGTCCCGCTCTTATAATATGGACTATTAGCGAAATCGGTAGGCAAGTTTATGGTGTTGAGTACGAGATTCCCATCTTGTTGTAAGCGAAACTGGAATCTCCCTCTGGTGAAATTAGTCTCAGACCGACGAGAAGACAATATCGTTCCCTTCTCAAGTACCTGAGAAGGCAAAATGGTATCTGTCGGATCCTTAAAAGTTTCCCACAACGTTTCTGAGCTTGTGTCTTGGAGCATAAAATTACCCTCGTCGCTCATGACGCCTTTGTCAACATCTCCAACAATGTTATTGGGTTTCCACAGCTCTTTGCCCTGACGATCAGTCAGCACCAGCCCGCCGTCGGAAGTCAGGCTTGCTTTTGATCCCGTCGGAGCCGTCGATGGTGTATCACCATCATTCGCGTACCAAACGATGGTCTTGTCGGCAATCTTGTCGTACCATATGCAGAGCAAGAAGAGGTCTTTTTGGTTTGGTAGTTGTTGAAAACCCAATGCGAAATCGCCGGATGGTGATAGCCATGGAGAGGAGTTTTGTGTTGCTGTGAGAGAGGTTCCAACTGTTATGTTGTTTTGAGCAAAAGCATAGATTGGTAAGAGAAGAAGGAACAAGGGAAGGAGAAATATCTGATTATTGTAAGGACTAGAAGCCATTAAAGCCATGGCTTGAACAAGAGAGAACTGGTTTTTGTTTTTTTTTTTTTTGTTTTTTTTTCTTGGTCCGTTTCTGTTTATGTTTCTGTTTCACTTAATAGACGAACCAGGGACCACTCAATAATGATTCTAGACCATGAGATGCGTTAAGTAATCTCCTTGGAAGACTTTTACTACTTATGATGACTTTCATATTGTTTAGACTTTTCTCATGTACCTGATTGAGAAAAATGGATTCGTGAAGTTTCACGGTTACAACTCAAATATCAAAATTCAAATTCAATTTTTTTTATTATAATACTTTTTTTAAAAAAACTTACTTTTTAATTAAATTTTTAAGTCAAACAAAACAAGTGGACTAAAATCTCTTTTATTTTATTAATTTAAATTTTATTATAATTAAAAATTTTTATAAAAAATTACATTTAATTTTTCTACTATAGTAAAATTTTTTAATATAAAATAACTTATTAATTCAAATTAAAAACTTAAATATACGAACTGAACGAAGCCTTAGAGTTTTTCAATTTTTGGGTGATTTCTTTTTAGGGTTTCAAAATTACTATTAACCTTAATTAAAATAAGAAAAACAATTAATTTTTTTTAAGAATATGGTATTTACTAACTATCTAATATAATTTCCTTTTTGATCAATCTCTCTCTTTCTTTCTCAAACGAAAAATAAGTGCAAAGGTGTGCAATGTTTGGTCGTAGCTCTAGCGCCGCCTCTAGGCGCGTCGCCGGGCTTCTGACAGTGAAAGTTGGTCACTAAATTCGTCTCGACGTCAACTTTCCTGTAGTGGTGGTTGTGTGTGAAGCGTGCTAGGAAATCATTACTCGCCCCGTCCGACTAAGTTAAGTCCCTAAAATCTTGGAGCTGAATTGTAATCCGCTGGTTAGAAATAAACTATTAATCATATTCCCACATCATATGGTATGAGCATTAGCATTGATATTTATCTTTACAAATAAACTTACGATATTGATTTTCACAAATAAATATTTTCAATATTAATAATGGCATACGTCTTAAAGAAAAAAAAACCTTGTACATTGTCGTGATAGGATGTACAAAGGAGAAACAAAAAACTGCCCGTGGAAGAAAATAATTCCAATCACAGGTACCATTTTGTAATATTAATTTCATTTACTTTTTTTTGCTAGTTAAATTTAAATAATTGATTCTCATATGCAAGTTTATGTGCACTCTCTAATATATAACTATGTTACTTAACCTTATACCATGTTGCCGTACTTCAATGGAAATTTTAAAAGTTAATCAGTGATTTTTTTTATTACCCAATCGCATTTTTTTTAAAGTACACGTTTAACTTATTTATCAACCATTTTTTTTGTTGAGGGCTCTTTACCAATACGAGGACCGAGGCCAGTGTACCAAACTAAGGGAATGTTTGGTTAGAGGATTTAAATTATGATTTGAATCATTGTTTATAATTCGTTACAGTGTTTTCTTTTACAAAAAATACACGTAAATAAAAAATAATTCTAATCACATAATTCTAATCTATAAACTAAACGTCTCCTAATGCAATTCCTGATGCATACAGTGAGTGGAAGGTGTGGAAGGTACAAAGATGTGTGGTTCATCTACATATTTTCAATGTAAACCGATTGCGGTTAACAAAAAAAAAAATCATTTCCCCCTAGATGTCCTCAACTAAAGCTCACCATTAGATCTAATTTAAATGACTTATTTTTTCTACATTATTTGTGTCAATGGTTTAGATATTTACGTGGAATTGATGAAAATATACATTTTCCACGAGCCCTAACAATAATAATAACAATAAAAGTAATAACACTAACAAAAAAACACTAGCTAGCTACCTAGGGTTTGATTTTGGAATAAATCAAAGTTCTCCTACCAATTTATCCCTTACGTTTTTTAAACTTAACTTTGGAATTAGAGGTTAAGTCCCGTTCATTTTACCGATTCGAGTTTTATTATAGTAAAAAGCTATCAGAAACAGTCACATCTAACTTTTTTACTACAATAAAAAACTCTCACATAAAGTCATAAGTGCTTTTGAAGATTAAGAGTATCTGCAATCTGTTTATAAATACTTGTTGCACCTTAATCAGGAAGTTAAAATACTTACAAAAGTAACCTTCTTAGCTGAATTAGCTACTGGTTGATGATTAAAAAAATAAAAAAAAAATAAAAAAAAAAAGAAGAAGCTAACGACACTTTGGCCTTTGCATTTTAATTTTAATCAAAAGCGTAAACTTAGCCCTCTGCCTACTTTAGGTAATTGCCACTTCAACTAATACTTGTGTTCTGTCGGCCTGCAAAAGAAAATTAAATCATCTCAACATGAGACAACTATATATAATATGTATATATATATATATATATAGGTCTCTATAGCAAATAAAGTAAGGAAGTTGGCCAGAAATAATGGTGTCTGATAGTGATTTTATTAAGCAAATTTCCTTTCTTTTTGGTATAGATTTTTTAACAAAATTTGAATCCGTCAAAAGTTTAAACCTTCAATAAGCAGGGTAGTTCTATAATTATTTTGTTTTCTTTTTGTATAAGTAATTGCAAGAGGGAAATAGTTATCAAGAACAAACAGTTTAAAAGATGGATCTACTTCTGATCAATAAATTTCAAATAGATCAATGTATATAGATATAATTACAGCATATATGACTAGTGTTAAACTAAACTAAAACATTTTTTTTAGACATTCAGAAAGTTCAGAAAAGGATCACTTGACAGAAAACAATTGCTAATATGCCATTTTATGTAGTCCCTGCAACCAATAAGTTTTACACTCCTGACATACAATAACGTATGAAGAGGAAGGATATTAGTTTGAGTCCATGAGACTCTATTCACTGGTGTTTATGTTTAAGATGGTCTGGCAAAATGGGGATGGACATGGTGGAACATGCACTTCAACAACTCCTTCAAGCATCTGCACAACCTTCAACAACTCCTTTTGGGCATTCACATCTTGGCTTCTTATCTTCTCTGAGAAAGCGAATGCTGTTGTAGCCACAAACACCAACACCTTGTGCAACACTCAATGAAAAACGAATATTATCTGGTATAGTCCAGAGAGAAGTCCAACTCACACTACCAGAAGTGAAACTCTTTGGATGAGAATATTGTGCCAAAACTCTATCAAGACTAAGAGCCGCTCGTAAATACTAGTCCTTTGCAGAAAACATCATTTCTTTGTCAGATTGAACCTTTCACCATTTTTTCCAACTACATGTAGCCTGACTCGACCAATTGTATGCCTGCGGTTTTGTAATAAGGCTCATTCTCGTAGTCTGTTGGCAAATTCACGGTGTTGAGGACAAGACTCCCATCATTTCGCAAACGTAGTTGGACTCTCCCTTTGGAATAGTTTGTCTCTGATTGACAAGAAGAAAGAAAGAGTCTCTCCCATGTCCATCACCTGAGAAGGTAACACGGTATCTGTAGGATTCTTGAAAGTTCCCCATAAGTTGTTTGAATTATTATCTTGGAGCATGAAGTTTCTTTCTTTGCTCATAAAAGCGTGGACAACAACTCCAAGAATGGTCTCTGATTTCCATAGTTCCTTGCCTTGAGGACTAGTCAGCACAAAACATCCTTTCCATTGTCAGATTGAACCTTTCACCATTTTTTCCAACAACCTACACGTAGCCTGACTCGTTGAAAACCAATTGTATGCCTGCGGGTTTGTAATAAGGCTCATTCGCGTAGTCTGTTGGCAAATTCAGTGTTTTGTGCTGCTTTGCAGAAAACATGATTTCCTTTGTCAGATTGAACCTTTCACCATTTTTTCCAACAATATACATGTAGCCTGACTCGTTGAAAACCAATTGTATCCCTGCGGTTTTGTAATAAGGCTCATTCGCGTAGTCTGTTGGCAAATTCACGGTGTCGAGGACAAGATTCCCATCATTTCGCAAACGTAGTTGGAATCTCCCTTTGGAATAGTTTGTCTCTGATTGACGAGAAGAAAGAAAGTCTCTCCCATGTCCATCACCTGAGAAGTTAACATGGTATCTGTAGGATTCTTGAAAGTTTCCCTTCAGTTGTTTGAATTATTATCTTGGAGCACAAAGTTTCCTTCATTGCTCATAAAAGCATGGACAACAACTCTAAGAATGGTCTCTGATTTCCATAGTTCCTTGCCTTGAGGACTAGTCAGCACAAGTCCGCGATTAGCAGTGAGGTTGACTTTTGAGTCTTTTGGTGCTAGTTGATCCCCGTTCGCATACCAAACGACGGTTTTGTCCAGTATTTTTGCATACCAAATGCAAAGCAAGAAGAGATCATATTGGTTCTGTGCTTGGCGGAAGCCAAGGCAAAATCACCAGATGAAGAAACTCAATAAGAGTTCTCCTTTTTAGCAAACAGAGAAGCTCCGATGGTTATGTTTCCGTTGTTATTTTGGGCTAAAGAAGAAGTTGTTAGAAGAAGAAACAAGGGAAAAAGGATGATCCCAAGTGATAAAGCCATAGCCAGAAGCTGCAAATTTGATTAATATAGATGAAAATAAGAAAAGGGTCGTGTTATGGTTCTAGGAACAACATGATCACAGAAAACTTCAAGAAAGGACAGAAAAAGGTTTTATGTATGTAAGGTTAACGCAAAGAAAGGCCAAAGGAATAAGAAGAGTAGCAACCATTAATAAACTATCTGATGTCATTGTTGAATTAAAGAAAAAGAAGAATAGGGAACGACCAAGTAAGTAGTGAATATTTTATAGACACAAGTTGTGAAAAGAATGTTTAGAAACAAAGAGAACAATAAATATTGAAGGATATATTTGCGTGGTTTGAGTTTGAATTTGACATAGAAAACTTAACAATGCCGACATTTCTGGCCTTATTTAAAGGCAAGAAAATTAAGACTACACTAGAAAGGCAATAAACAGTCGAGATCCGATATAATAGATGGATAAAACTGTAAACATTAATATATTAAACCCCCTTGTATCTGAAGGAAAGTTAAGCAGTAGTTTGACATATATATAACTCGCTACTACAGGCCCTGATTTCAGTTAATTATTTTTTACATGAATTTCATTTGTTTACTTTGAAATTATAGTACTGCACTGTCCTTTAAGCAAGAAATATAAGCAATTAAAGCAGGTTTTTT